TTTGAAAAGATCAGGGAGGATTGTGAACAGCGACGATAGCCGAATCTATTTACTTATATATTGCGGAAATCTAAACTAGGAGTGTGTATTTTCCAAAAAATAATCACTATTTTGGTCAAAGTAATCCTCTTTCGATTTAATATCTGCGGCAGGTTTGAAACTTGGTAACAACGAGATAAGACGAGGCGATGCAAGGCTCTCGTTACCCCATCGCTATTCATTGTTAAGGGTTCTAACGGGCTATTTTCCTTGGTTTCACTTGCCCTGAACCTTACAAATGGGACTAGCCATACCAGATACACAAGGATGTATCATTATTATTCTCTCCATATTCCATTAGTAAGAAGTAACTTTCACTCGGACAGCCCAAGAACTGGTGTCTCGTGGAACGGAGTATCGATTATTACAATCTTCAATTCCGTGGGTAACTTATATTTCTTATATAACCTCATGCACTTCACTTCTTTTTTCTAATACACTCGTAAAGCACCACAAAGTAACCCTTTACCCTCAGTGGTTCTTCAGCCTTGCATTGGGTTAATGTTAGTATAAAAAAAGATTTTTCAACTGGAAGACATTTTGTTATAATCTTTATAAACAGAGATTAATCATTTAACTTCCTAACCTTTGGTAAGTTGTAGCAATGTCAACTTTCATACTGAGCAATGTTAATTGTTCATATTGAGTTATAGATCAAATTTTTGCATTACCAGCGATCAGAGACGATGGATGTTGGCTTTGTCACTGACTGAGCAATGTTAATTGTTCATATTGAGTTATAGATCAAATTTTTGCATTACCAGCGATCAGAGACGATGGATGTTGGCTTTGTCACTGACTGAGCAATGTTAATTGTTCATATTGAGTTATAGATCAAATTTCTGCATTACCAGCGATCAGAGACGATGGATGTTGGCTTTGTCACTGAGTATCCATACTCTGAGCATCTGTTGGATTTCAAGTTCTATCCAGACGATAAGTTGAACTCAAAGATATGATCTATTAAGATACGGGAAAATAGTTGACATAGGATGTCTGACTCTTTCTGCAAGGATATATTTATCTTTACAAGTGTCAGATTAGACCAAATATCAAGTATTGCTGCCATATCTGGACTGGAGCTGCTCAATCCAACTTTGATAGAAAGTAATTCATAACAAAAAGGTAGAGCAACATAACATATATCTTACAGTAAATTGCTAATAGCAAAATATAATGATTAAAAAAAACCGTTAAACCGATTTATCGCTCCTCTTTGGTCAGGGCAAAAATCGAAGGCAATAAATGTGCACAGAGACACAGTATATAAAGGGTGTTTCAATAAATTGGACCGATTTTAAATGTGAATTAAGTTCAAGTGTCTAATTCGTTCTTTTTCTTTCAGATTTAACAATTTAAGTCTTTAGTAATTTCAACCATGGAAAGATTATCAATCAAACAATGTGTTATAGTTATCGAAGCCTATTACGAAAATGGACATTCAAATTTATAAATATATGACCCAATGATTCCGCTAGCAAAAAATGCGCACCTTTTGTGGATGCATTGACTTTTCAACAATCTTCTTTGGATTTTCATCAGCCCAAATGCAACAATTCTGCTTATTAACGAATCCACAAAGATGAAAATGGCCTTCAATCACTAAAGAGGATTTTTGCGAAAAATCTTCATCGGCTTTTCTTTGCTTGTGCACCAAAATGACAAATGTACGGCTCTCCAAATAGTCACCAGGTTTCAGTTCTTGTGTCAATTCAATTTTGTAAGAGTGTAGAGACACATATTTCGTCAAAATTCAACCTAACATTGTTGTGAAGAGGTTCAATTCCTGCGGGCGATGAGGAATAGAGGCGTCTGGATTTTCGGCCTCATTCTCGTGCACTGCAGCAATGTTTTCAGCTGAACGGCGTAAACGAGCATTCAGTGGTGTTTTCACATCTTCCACCGACACAGTTTGTTTGAATTTGCGAACAATTTCTCGCTTGGTCGATTATGTTAAACAAAAAAACGCGAAATGCATTTCTGTTTGAACGTCCATTTTTGTAATAGCCTTCAATAACTTTTTAACACATTGATTCGTTGTTAATCTGAAAGAAAAAGAAAAAAATCATTACACGCTTAAACTTAATCCAGATTTAAAATCGGTCCAAGTTATTGGAACACCCTCTATAAACCACCAAACTAATGTTATATATAAAATATAATATTAATTTTTTTTACATTAATTTTTATTCTCGATTTGCCTGTAATAAGAGCGGAGCGATAACTGGTTTAGTTGTTATGTAACCGTAATCTTTCGGTATTACGAATTTATGGTAGTGTATACGAGGATAAATAAAAAATTACCTGCACTTCCGCCAAGACATCTTTAGGTTTGTCAGTTCCTTCTGCTCATGCGCCCTAAGAGTTTGTGGTTGAAGTTTGAGCGCGATCGTGTCAGTTTTCTTGTTGTTGCTACAGTGTAAACATGACTGTTCCACTATGCGTTCATCGGAAGCTTTTAACACAATACGACAACAGTTCACTATCATCTATGGGTGGATCGAGAAGTTTAAAAGTGACCGGTCAAGAGTTTCGCTCATCAAGCTCCACCACTAAGGAGAAGATTTAGCAAGCTTGAGGGATGGTAATGGCGAACCGGCGAATTATCATCGATAAAGTAACATGTTGTCTGTAGATTCCGATAACTTCTCCTTGTTTCTTCTTGGTACACACTGCCATATTTACACTGTAATAGCAGTTAGAAAACTGACGCGATCAAAATCAAACTTTGATCCCGTGATCACGATAGTACTAACTATAAGCACGCGTGACAAACCTAAAGATATGTCTGGGTGAAAGTGAGGATAATTTTTGACTTACCGTCTTGTTTTTTTTTTTTTTTGTTACTCCTCCATTTTGTTATGAATTGCTTTCCAATACGTTCAATTAATAGAGTTAAACATTTTTTGTCGTGTTTATTTTTGTTTTTTGGGTGGGGTAATCTCCATTCTTTATCCTTTTTCCAACAGATGTAACTTCGCAAGCTGATCGGTAACTTACCACTATATAAGTGGAAAACATTTAGATGAGTTCCATTCTGTAGTTCCATATACACAGATATCTATAATTAGGACACATTTTATTTACCCTGTGTTCCAAATATAACCAGAAACACAGACAGTTTTTTTTTCTCAAGAACTGCAACTTTGTGAAAACGGATTCCCGCGAAGAAACTTCTCTAACAAATACAATATTAACTTCTTCATCTCAAGGGTCAGTCGTTATCTACGCCTCTTTATCCTCATAATATTTACTACCTACACCACCTTTATTTTTCATTCCTTTTATTTCATTCATCATAACTGCTTTAAGATAAAGCCTACAGCTTTAGTGGATCTGGCGCCGTGTAATGGCTTGAAAATATGCATAAAAATACAAATAAAAAACCTTTAAAGGTATCATAACGAATCAGAAAGTAGTATAAAGAAATCAGCACGTTTTGATGGTGAGAAAGGATTTTAGTAAAAATAAATATTAAAAATATTTATAACAGAAATTTTAGATCAAGCAGAAGAGTTGAAATAACATTACAATGAACTAATAATAAGTTGTTTGCCGCAGGCTTACGGCCCTATCACGTTGGAATTCTTGTATGATCAACGAATTTAAGCAACTTCGAACCTGGTCAGTAACTAGATGGGTGACCGCTTGGGAATATCAAGCTTGGAGGTGTAGGCGACATAATGGATAACGGCTCGAAACTGAAAATCCCAGAGACGAGTTCCAGTTCTGGTCGGGTACTTTATATTCACGTGTGCACAAATACCCCTTGGGAAGGGTATAAATCTACATATTCCTTCTAGCTACGGGTTAATTTGTGGGATATGCATCAGTAAAAAACGTTATTATTTTCAAAAAATTCTTACAATATAAAACTATTCTCCGGATTTAAATAACCTGCGAAATGTTGATAAGCCGTAAAAAATATCAGTCAATCAAAGGAAATGTTTGCTGGAACGCATTTACCTTCAGGAAAATTGAAAGGATCATTTGTGTTTTGAGTAGATGGCCTGTATAGAATTGTTGGTTGGTCAAAAAGAGATTTTTTTTCTCTCTCTCTCTCTCTTCGTCTGCCCCATCGAATATCAAACGGGAAAAATTTAGACCGCACAAATTGTTCTACAGAATGATTTCAGAAATAACTGCAAAATCAGAGTTGTAAATTAATTTTAAAAAAAACATCTATAAAGATCTTGTTGAAATTCTTCAAGTGCAGAATTGCTCGCATGATTCGGTCTAAAAATCGCATTATTAATTTTCTTTTTTTTTCTTTTTTGAAGATGTTTACTTGACTTCTTTTTTTTTAAGACAAGGCAGAATAATTTCGCAACAAAGAGCTAACGGCTCAGAACGAGCTCAAATATTTCTTCTTTGCTTCAGGTAAAGCTCTTTTCCTATGCGATCTTTTATTCAGTTTCAACGTCGTTCGCGTGTTGAAGTTTGTATTTCTTTTCATCATCTCCATTTTCCTATTCTTACTGTTTATTTTATTCGTTCGTTTTATCAGCGATATACAATGGCCTCAAACTGCGTTCGAGAAACAATCGTTGATAGCATCAGTGCATGATTGTAGCCGCCGTATTTTCTAACAATCGAGAATACAACGAGCAGCTATTTCATTCTGTTTTGTTATTACGAATCTTATAACATTTTTTCTTTTATAATTCATTTAGATTTAAACCGTACCTGCATAAGGTCACATGATGTTAATTAGACTTCAGGCTCGCTGAACAGCATGTAAGATTATCAAGCCGAAAATCAGTCTTCCTTTATGTGACGTGTGCCGTCAGGTTTGTGAGCGAGCATAGCTCTCCACAATTTCTTTTCCTTTGTAGCTGTAAACAACATTTAACTATTTTCTATCAGTCTGTGTTCACGCTTTGTCGTCCATTCATGCAACCTCATTCGATAAGTCACTCGCTGTCTCCATCTATTCATCTCCTCTTCAATACATCCTGGGCTTACGACCATATCACGTTGAAACACCAATTTCCGTACGATCACCGAAGTTAAACAACGTGTAGCCTGGTCAGTACCTTGGTGGGTGACCGCCTGGTAATATCAGGTTGTGTAAGTTTGTATGTGCGTATGGTGTAATAAATAAGGTCTCTGAATTGTTACTCGTAAAGCCGCGTTCTATTTCCAGTTATGTTTGTTATATTCATTTACGCACAAATGCCATTGGGAAATGTATGAAATCTATTCTTTTTCTCCCAGCTAAGGGTTAATCAGTAACACGTATATCTCTAAACCATTATTATCTAAAAAAAACATTTTTTTACAATCTAAAAATATTTTCTGGATATAAATAACTTGCAAAGGTTTGATAAATCGTAGAAAATCAATCAAATCAATTCAACCTATCATGAGAGTATTTAATTCTCTAAGCAATCTTTCCTCATTACTCATCACAGCGTTATTTTACTGATTCTTATTTCAAGTAAATTCCCTTTTATTTCCCATTTTCTTTAGAACTCCTTCGTCTTTCACATTTTCAGTCCATGGTATTCTCAGCTTCCTTCTGTAGAACCAAACACGTACCGTTCCAAGCCTCTTCTTCACCTATAAATTAATTGCCTAGCATCTACTGTCATATGCAAGGATTGATATAACCGAGCAGTTCGGCAATCTTCCCCCCACTCTCTCTCTCTCTCTCTCTCTCTCTCTCTATATATATATATATATATATATATATATATATATATATATATATATATATATCTCTCTCCTAATACTTTGTTTAATTTCTGAAGTGATTCTTTCAGAATTCCACAGTGCCTTCGGCTTTCTGTGTCACATTTTTTGTCGTCGCTTACTACACTACATCCTTGATTCTGGGGTATCCAATTCGTAGCTCACACATTGGGCTATCTGATGACTATACTTTCTCTCTACTTACAATTAAAGGTTAGTTTTTCCTTTCCTTTGGGAAATTGTCTTGTAATTTATGCAATATCCTTCACTGCTACCACAGTAGAATTCTACAACAGATTTATATTTATCCGTTAATCGAAGTTCATTTGGAACTAGACGACAAAGCAGGGAACATTAAACTAAAACTTGCAAACAATTGCCTGTGAGATTAAAAAAGAAAACCAGGGCTTATTTATTACTAGCTTAAAAGCCGGACTATCGGGCTTCATTTAAGCTAACTCCTGCGGTTTGCTCTTAATTGGGCCATCTGCCTATTTATGAGTTCGAGAGTAACTAAGTCTTTGCATATTCTTAGCAATGGAAGCTTTCCTGGCTGCCGTTTGATCACAGTTTTCATTTGCAGGGACTTTCTTTTCCTCGCCGCATTCTTGGCTATTTTGATTGCAATCTAGTCCTCTGTTGGCGGAGATTTCTTTATGCGAGGCATACTGCTGCCGTATACGATAGTCAAAAATAAACATCAGAAGAACTCAAAATTGGTTGCTGCGTTTAAGTATTCATTAATATTTAAGCTTACCTTTTAAAGGTTCAACAATAATTCTTCTGCTGCCACCAAATGTAAAGACATTTTGGTGTACGTAGGTCCTTACTTTCCGTACAAACAATTTTTTTTTCATGGATAACTTTCGCTGAATTTTGCAATTAATTTCAATTATTCCCCAATTTTTATCGTACAAAAAAAAATGTCGCAAAAAATCACGTAGAAAAATCGCCGAAAACAATCACAGTAATGAAAACTTGTTAATTCAAAATTTCTGCAACATGAGCTACTGAAAGTTAGACAGTTGTTTCCCTTTAATTCGAAAAGTGTGAAACACTGACATTGGCATTTATTATATAGAAGACACATTACAAGATTGCAATATTAAAGTATTTTTTCATAATTGATAATAACTTACGTGGCAAACGTTTTAAATATCATCCTCGGAAAACAGCTCATACACGCTTATAATTCTTATCACAAAACCGGGCTTTGATCGCGTCAGTTTTCTTGCTGGTATTACAGTGTAAACATGGCCGCTCCACAAGCAATGTGCACCAAGGAGAAACAAAGAACAGTGATCCAAATTTTATGTCAATGTCTAAAATTTATCGGAGGATTTTAACACTATATATTGACACTGTCCTATAGTATCGATGTGTGTATGAGTGGATCGAGAAGATTAAAAGTGACGGGATAAGCTTGACGCTGGAAGAATATGGACGCCCATCAGCCTACACTCTTGAGGCGAAGATTCAGAAAGCTCAAGAAATGGTCATGGCGAACCGGCGAGTTACCATCGATGAGGTAAAATACTCTCTGCAGATTCGGATAAATGCTCTTTGTTCCTTGTTGCCCACTGCTTGCGAGGTGGTCATATTTACACTGTAACAGCAAAAAAAAAAAAAAAAAAAACTGGTGAGATCAGGCACAAACTTCCATCACGTGACCACAATAGTACCAACTGTAAGCACGCAATCCCATCGCTAATCTGCCATTATGTTCGTGAAAAACATTGAGATGATTTTCATTCCGTAGCTTTATGTGCTTATTTGGTCTGGCAGTTTATCTGGTTCCCTATGGCACACTGTGGTCTCCTTTCAACACTGCATCCAAGGACTCGCAAATAGTCGGAATTTCCGTGATAATTTGGATTCACGAGCGCTCCCTACCTGCAGGTATACACACTTTTAGAATAGTGATATCCGGTTTTATACATAGTTTACTTATCCTAGCCTGGTTGACACGAAAATCTATGATTCTATCGACGAATGTTGGTATTATTATGAAGAGAGATTGTTAGAAACGAGCATGCTTTAAGGAAATTAGCTCCTAATAAAAAATTACTTTTAGCAATCAGAATCAAAAGAGAGGTGTAGAGCATTCTGTACGTATAATGAAGAAAGAAAATTTGGAGAATTTAGCACTCAAAAGATGGGAAGAAGAGCCTAAAGCAAACTTATTGACATTGAGGAAATAGAAAACTGAATAAGGGCCTGAAATACAAAGAGAAGAAGTAAAGGATTAATATTACTCAAAACAACAAAAATAGAAAGTTGTGGAGAGTCATGTCCTGAAAGGTAACACGACACACGTGAATACACATATTGACTATTATAATTACAAGCTTCTGGCTCTTGAGGTCTCTGTTCTCTTTCAAGGACCTATTGTGTTAAGTAAATATCACGGATATTAGAATCGAAACTTGATTTAATGAACTGAGGTAGAGTGTCCCCATTGAGTTCATCTCGTATTAGTTAATTAGTCCTTGTGGCTCTGTCACAGCTTAGAGCTCACTCCGCGGAGCCCAAAACCTGATCGAGTTGTTAAAGCAATGGCCATTAACTGTATAGAATTAACGAACGCGTATTTTAACCCCCTGTTATTCAACACAACGGAAAGAAGTACGCGAGATTGCTTTATGTGTGACATGCGCAGTTGATAGGAAACAATAATTGTCATAATTACAATATGACTCTGATCATAATATTTTGAATGGTAATGGCAATATGAAGCGTTTCCATATAAGGAAACATTCGCTATTCATTGACCGAATAACCAGTACTTCTCTCAATTGAAAATTTAATGAAAATTGGTTTTATTAAGTCCAGTAGATGTTATCGCTCTTTCTAATATTGATTGGAATTTCTTTCCTAGCCTTTTGTTTAAAGCAGTGTGGAATGTCAACATTTTGATTATGTTATTGTTTTCTTTTCCAGTTACATGTGCCATCCATTTTGGTTATTGCTATTGTTGTAGTTTCTGTTATTTGGTACAGTTCTTTATTTGTAATTCTATAGAGTTAGCGCTTAAGGTTCGAAGAAATGTTGTCTTCGCTTCAACTTCATTCTTAACCATTGATTTTAGAAAGCGGTCATATAGAGCTGACAGTTTAGATATTTCTGGGTGAGGTTAACGTAATGCATGACATCCACATGAACATCTCGAACTGGTGAGGCTAATTAAGAACGTGACTCGAGTTTGTCAAGTTAATGATTTGGTTTTGTAGCAATTTGCGGTATTGGGTGAAAGTATCTCTAGCGCAGATTATTCTATGTTTAATTTCCTTTTCTCTCATATTTAATTTTTTCTAACCGATCTATATATCGAGATATTTACTAATTTTACACCCTGAATTTTTACGATGGATTCATGCTACCTGCATTCATTGTTTAATATGGCTTTTCTTTTGGAAAGGTTCCCACTTCCTGGAACAGTTGGTAGAGGATGTTAAATTTCTGTCCAGGACCATTCTCACCCAATTTAAGAGTGCCTATGTAGTCCGCATAACACACCCACCCACCATCAGCACATTGGCCTCGGGTTGGAAAGTAGGATCATTATATTGTGTTGGTAGATTGATTTGGGATGCTAAAATGAACAGTGCCCATTTATTTACCTCTTAAGGGATCACACTATCTTTCTCTTTCATTCTATCCACACACACACACACACACACACACACACACACACACACACACAAACACACACACATATATATATAGATATATATAATTATCTATTTAAAATATGATTCAACTCGCGACATAAGAGGTCTCATGTTTCAAAACAAGAGCCGAAAACTTCAATATAATTATCAATTTAATCCAAATAATTATATTGAAGTTTGAAACATGAGCCATAACTGTCATTTAAGTTGAATCATGATTGGAATTTAAATAAATAATTATATTTATGCTCTACTTTGTATCAGTACTATTTTTTAAAAAATAATAAATAAAATACTAAGGAACTTTGGATTATTTACCTAACCAGTTCTTTCCTATTTTCTATATATTTTCACACACACACACACACACACACACACACACACACACACACACACACACACACACACACACACACACACACATATATATATATATATATATATATATATGGTTAAATAATTGCTATATTTATGAAAGAAGGGAATTCATTATTAGGGTTGGAGGTATATGTAGATGTAACAGTTTGGAAATAAATATCAACATTGCAAAGGTGAAAGGAGTTTTCACGTCTTAAGAGGACACACAGACAAATACAGACAATATACATACAGACATATAGATATACACTGTTTGGAGATAGGTATCAATACAACATGGCTACTGTCGGTAACACGCCTCAAGCGATCTTCATATAATGAGACGTT